GTTTATTTGTATACTGCGGTAGGTTCATCCTATGGAAACAATCCTTATCACTCACATATTAAATCATATCATCTACAAGTGATATACACTTCTATCCATCGTTTTGAATATAGTTCTGCAGTTGCTAACCACAAAGCAGACGACAAACAAACAGACATACAGTACAAAAAAGCATCTCAATTTTTATCTAATTAATTGATTTCTGTTGCAAATATTATTTGGCATCATAGTGATTCTCTCACTTAATGTTCATTTTTTCACTCACTTGGCAGGGTGCTCTCTTCCTTATCACGATTTCTGTCTCATTCCATGTCTAATAATTACATTTTAGAGCATCTCCTCTCTCTCTTTTGGTCTTTCAATTGGAATCATTTTCTTTCATTTTGAGTCACCGACTCCAATTTGGAACTAATTTCTTCATGTCAAACTTCTGTAAATGAGAAATGTTTTCCAAAAGTTAGCCATAAATAAGCCAATATGTCATATATCAATTTCACATTGATGGTAATCCTATTTTTCGGGAAACATAATGGTTACTTCGTTACTGATGGCATTGGTTTTTTCATTGTAGTCGCTTGACTGTTTATTCGCATATTTTTAATGGAATTAAGTAGAGCCTAGTATAATGAGTAATCTAAGAGGCTTCTCTTGTTTAGTTGACATTGCTAAATATTTCTTCGCGAATTACTTCAAAAACCAGAGTTATTGATGAAATATGATTGTAGATTTTATGATGTTACCTGGAACAGAACAAACTTTAATTTGGAATTTGTAACTTTCATCACAATAAGCGTAACAGTTCAGTGTGGTAAGTAATTTCGTTATCATTTTCTAACGAAATCCATTTCATTCCACATGAATGTTCTCAACTAATCATTTGCGAGTTCACTTCTAAACCGAAGATTTTGCTGTCGCTGAAAAATAAAAATTCAGTTTGTATAAAAGGCGTGGATGGATTTCAATTATTGAGAAAGTCGTAAGGTGGAAGAACTTATGAAATTCGATGAACCGACGGGTGTTCTTACGTCCATCCCAAAATATCATCAAGTGTACGGGTAAAAAAATCTAAGAGGAGTGTCGGATTTGAATTTGGTGAAATTTCAAGATTTAATCTATAGGAACTAATTATTAATTAATTCGTCTATTTTCGGTCTTCAAAATTTACTGGGGTGTCGAACTTTAGAAAAAATAGAAAGTCTAGAATTTAAGTAAAATATGAAACATGCAGTGTGAAATAAAGTGACTGATCGTTTGATAAAACTGCTGATGAGCTAGTTTTATGGGACAGACACTGTCTTTAATGAAGATCGTGTTTGTCCTGTTCAGCGAAATTCAATTAATCAAATAAAAGAAATGGAAGAAAGGAAGGAAAAGAGTACGGAAGTAATCACACGCTGGCTGATGAAAGGATGTTTTAGCATCCTTTTATCAGTACATTCAGTACTGCTGTGACCATAGACTTTTTTTGTTAACACTTTCGTGCATCAATACACTTTCATCGGTTTCTTCCATGCACTTTATTGCTTTTAACTAATATGGAAATTAAAATTGTGTGACCCATGTGGTGCTTTAGCTTTTATTCAATGTGTGAAACACTGTGTATTTTGTTGTATTATGACTGACTGTTAATTTGTTGTATTATGAGTGACTGTTAGTAACAACTGTTAGTCATTTCACTTTTTTCTCATTTCACCTTATTTTGGTCTAGATTTAGACATTCATGAAACCATTAACAATGGGAAGTTCTCCCCTATAATGCCCAAAAAAATTATTTGAGAAATGCTCAAAGTCCCTCCCATTTGGAATAGTTATAACTATCTCTATTTATGACGGCTACTTGCCTTTCGTTTGCATTGAGAGAATGCTGGATTTGTTATTTTTCGATGTGTAAGGCCTTCTACGTTGTATTCTAGCGCTATTCTTGGTAGCGACGTAAACATAAGTAAATAAAGAATATTCGTAAGACGGATGTATGTCGACCTTATATAAATTACTGATTTAGTCATTACAAAGTAAAAATACTAAGCAAATCCATTCCAATCTATTTTCTGGTAAAAAAAACTGCGATAACATTACTTTACTTACCAATTACTCGTCGTCACCTCAATTACTCAGCTCTTTGCTTGCAATAAAATGAGAACCTTCTTTCCTGCTTGATAGTAAATCTATTGTCCAGTCTCACTGCGAATGCTACAAATAACTTAGTTAAACTTACGGCCAATCGGAAAGATCAACAGTCGAACTTTTATGGTTAAAGCGGTAAGACTACATTTTAAGAACAAAATTCAGCGTTGGTCGGTAGCATCCATATGGTTGGTCATAAAGCTAACTCATAAACTGTATTGAATAGAAACAGTTTTATGCAAACAGACGTATCAAGCGAAGCATCTTACCCTGTGCTCCTCGCCTTTCACTGTGCTTCTTTTAAAACCAAATTTTAGAATCAGTTGTGCCTATCCAGTGATGTATTCAGCTTTTGCTAATCCTAAACTGGCTCTTTCTGCCAAACTGACCAGTGTGATGCGCTGCAATTGGACGTTCTCCATGAGATGTCAATGAGGAGGAAAATTCACTTTTCGAAATTTCATTTTTAGTAACACGATGACTGTTTTATAAAACTAACTTTTATGAAATGCAAATTTACAAATTTATGGTGCGTTAATGGCAGTGGTTTAAGATTACTTGAAAATGATGGGAACATTCGATTATAGTGTCAAGTCAATGAAAACAAATGGCGCAAATTACCGATTTTCTGCAAATTATCGATTAATGGTTTGATAGAGAGAAAATGGTAACATCTTGTGAGTGTAGGGTTGTTAGGTTGTGCTATCCTTAGATAGATGTCCTCACTGTGTAATTTATATAAATAGATGAGCGAAAATATGAGTAATAAAGATAATGGCTTACACGCCATGCTCAGTCCATACTTTTTGTAAAGTTCTAACTTGCTCTTTCATTTATCTGAAATCTATCCCAATGTCTGTCTGCCATATTTATAGTTCGATAAAAGCAGACGTGGTATATTCAGATTGGCTGCCATGGATGAAACAGGTTTTCATGGAGATGAGAGGGATTCACCAAGCTAATAAAAATAATATCAAAAGAGGAATTGTCATGTAATATATTTTCAATTTTGAATTTAGAGCATATAATAGCTTCAACCAAAACAACACAAACATTACAGAAGAGAATTAAACATTATTTATGCTTTATTAGATCAGATCAGAGTGGGACTAGTGCTATATCACAACAAAAGTCAAACAGCTTTCCAGGGGAATTTTTTATAATTACTTGACAGTACCCGTGGTATATTCTGTTGGCAATAAAATCATTCAATAATACGTGAAAGTATTATCTCTTTACACTCTCATTAAGCGGTCTTCGCATTAATCTCAGGAATTCAGATAGTCTGCATTATTCGATTCGTTATGTGTCATCTAGGCAAGCAAGAAGGATAGGCATCGTTCTGGAATGCAATTAGTTCATAAAAACACTTAAGTCTGCGCATACCTATAAAATCGTGGAACAATAATGTATTAGTAGCCGATTGAAATTGACTGGCACTATCAATATAAGCTGCTATGGAAGTTTGGTGAATTAGTAACACCGATCGGGCAAGCGCTTTTTTCCAAATTCAACTTTAACACTGTCGTTTCACAGGTATTTATCGAAAAGTGGGGTCGTTGCTGACTACAAACTAGTGATCTGTTCGTTAAGCTAGATTACCGTTGTTTCCGTACTCAACATCTACCACTGTTTTTCTTTTATGTATTTTCAATTCTGGTTCTCAGTATATCGCCAGCCATTACGAACAAGTTTATGATTCCTCGATTCATCAAAGTTTTTGAAACGTGCTTTCTGCTTAAATACTGCTCAGCTGTATCACTTCCACATCACAATACTACCACAATATCTTCCAATATAGTCAGATTCCTGGAGATTCAGGATAAAAATTAAAAGAAATGAAATTGAAAACAAACGCATATTGATGTTAAATCGAATCTCGTTTTGTATTTGTCTCGAAGAATAATGGATACATTTTTTTTTGAAAAGCTTTCTTACTCTTATTTCGTTAGATTTGTCGAGCGGTTATCAACTACCTGGGAAAAATGGATTACTCGTCTCCCCTTCTTCCCTCTCTTTTCGCTCTTGTCCTCGCTTATATTTATAAATGATGAAGAGGAGAATTTTCGACAAAAAAAATCTAACTTACCTATTATTACCTCATGAACGACAATTTATGCACTGCAGCAGTATGATTTCATCATTTCAAATTATTTTTGACTACTTATTGAATAGTTGTATATGAGAGAAATGCGTCGCATAACCATCTATTAGAAAGATGCTACTCCAGGCGATAAATATGTAATGCGGCTATCTCATATTGATACCACAATGATTGTCTTATAACTTGAAACGATAATGTTCGTGAAACAACACCATATGAATAAATTTGCTCAAATAATTTTTTTTGTCAGGAATTTAGACTAATGTAATTATCATTCTTCTCTCGCACACATAACTATGCTCGTTTTGCATTGTTGAAAAGTTTTTAATTGGCAGAAAATTTTATTCCAAGCTTGTATTGATATCATCGTAATCTCCATTTGTTAAGCAAATAATAACTTAAACTTGGGCAATTTCTGATCCACTTAAGAAATAACCAAAAGACTACTTTTCCTCACTCGTTGTGTGATGAAGTGATTTTAAAATAAATTGGCCCTTTAGAGAAGAGTTTCATTTGAGTAAAGCAAAAAATTTTTCGCATGAAATAAGTGAGAAAAAACATGACCTTATAGGTGCCTGTTCAAGCTTATGTATGGTTTGCATATATATCCGTATGTGCGTCCATTTGTGTATGTGTGTGTGTGTGTGTGTGTGTGTGTGTGTGTTGTATGTTAGAGTTGAGTACATGTTAGGATGTGAACTGCTGAACCGCCAGAAATTATTTAGCTTGCTTCCATTTCCAATTGAAAAAAAATTATTTTTTGCTTTTCAGAATGCCGATGATCAAGGAGGTAATGCTTGGAGCCAGTAGATCCAACGCACATTCCTCTTATGATATCAAGGACAAACCTACTGGTATCATTTCACTTTTATTTCTTTCAGGATTTATTCAATCTTCTTACGTTAAACCACAATTCTTTATCGTTTTCATAAAACACGTGTAGTTATGAACGTCGCTGCAGAGAATAATGCAGTGTGCGCAGTATGCGGTGATGGCCACGCGAAGTTGCACTATGGTATTTTAGCTTGTTACGGATGCAAAGGGTTTTTTCGACGAACGCTCACCGGGAAGTATCGATATGCATGCAGATTCGGCAATAACTGCATCGTTGATAAATGTGAATTACCGTTGAACTTATTATGATCATACAAAAATATAACAGCGTGGGGGGGAAACGATGCGGCGATATGCAATTTGTATTGCTGTCAGGTATTGTTATTCGAAGAAACCCCCCCCCCCTCCCCCCTGCTTTGTATTTAGTTCTTAACAAAATTAGAAAAGATACAGTAAGAGTAGTTCTAACAGTAATGGAAGGGAGAAAACATAATAAAATCAAAATTTTTTCCACACTTTGTTCATGAGACATTACATTTATGAATCGAAAAAATTGCAAGGTGGTTTGAAGATAACAAACTTGAATCTCCCGCAGAAAACTCATGTAGCACGCTGTTATATAGCAATGGAAAATCCACTGCTCTCAATGATCGAATAATCTCGGCGGAATTTCATGAAATATGTCCTTAAATGTAAAGGATGATCTGCCGTCAGACTTCTTAATAAATTTCAATCGATACGTTTCAGCTTTTAAGGAGTCTGCAACAGAAATGCTATTTCAGGGTATCTTTAAGTACCGATATTGCAAGAAATTTCAAAATTGTTCACTTAAGCAGTCGAATATAGTTGTTGAATTCCGGCACTTTGATAGCAATAAAATGCATAAAGATAATCTACGTAATCTGAGTTTGCAATATTACCATACAGATCTGTAGAAGATCATTTAGATCAGAGGAACAGTTGCCGGTACTGTCGTTTTCAACGGTGTTTGGAAGTAGGAATGGATCCTAAAGGTATGCTTGCTACAAGATAATTTCCGTTATATAAAGATTTTTCAACTTTAGTTTTAAATACAGTTTATGCCGACTGATTTATAGCAAGTTAGTATAAATGAGTTTCTGTGATGTTAAAAAGCTGACAAGAACTTGTCACTCACTGCAACCATTTGTGAATAATATCTTTGTGAATTAAGTTCCTGCTAGTACTAAAGTTACAGCAGTGCGACCCGATCGTGATTTAACTGGCAGACAACGAGTTCCACGTTTGCGAAAAAGACAGATTGATGAGGGACTCTTAAACCACATGGTACGTAATCTTTGCCTTTTCATCGTTTAAGGTATCATTACCACCCATTTATTATTCATTTCATGCAAATTATTATTTCTCATATTTTATCCCAGAAAAGCGCATTGTAATTTGTATTGAAATGATCTGGGATAAGCTTATGTAACCTGTTACATGCTCGTTTGCACATGTTTCTCTATTTTAGTCAATTTTTGGATCATCCAAATTTCACCACTGAAGTTTTCTTGGTGAAAAATATATCTGGAAATACATTTTGCTAGTCAGTATCTCTGTTGTGATAGAACTATTTAAAAAATGTCTCCTACAAGGATTTTTGTTGGGCTGTCATATTGCAAATTGTCAAATAGTACTTTGACTTTGATACTTATCTTTTAGCATAACTCTGGTAGCAATTTTTTTCAAATGCGATTGCAAGGTAATGACTGGTCACAAAAACTACCGATGGAATCCCGCGTATTGCTAATGCGGCTGATGAATATTGAGTGGAAAATTGTTAAAAGAGATGAAACAGTATCCATAAGGAATAATAGTAAGGACTTATCCAAGACCATCTCTCTTCGGGAGCTTTTTGAACAGAAACCAAGTTTGGATGGCCAATCAGCTAAGGTATTACATGTTTTTATCATTTAGCTATCCAATGAAAACTGAATGAAACAAATATATATATATATATATTTGTTTACAATTTTGCTAGTCACACTTCTTTTTTCAAATCTAGTTCACGGCAATACATTGTCTTTCGTATTGAAATTCTGATTTTACATGTGTTCTTACTGAAAAAGAAACTGGATATGTATAATAAGGATGTTAATGATTGCATTAATCTGAAGTGAAGCCTACCACATTCTGTACTATAGATTAGGTACGAACCATACCGGATGGCTCAACTCGATGAACTACCTCAAATTGCTCATCGTAGGGCGATGGCTGCTGTTGACTGGGTTGATTCATTGGCTGAACTAGCTGACATTACCGATACTGAAGACAAAGTACATGATACATTGATATGGATTGATTGACTTTTCTAGTTAGAAGGCTGTTAATTCCCGTTACAAGTTTAATCAATTTTAAGAACTAAACTACGGATGAAACAATTTTACTTAATTACATCTTGTTATCAAAGTTGCAAAGTAATATGCTTTTAGCTGTCAACTAGGTTTCAGGATTTCAACCAAATTAGTATCCAAAACACCCTCCAATTTTTTGCAGATTGCTCTCGTAAAATCATGCTATTCACCTTTGACTATATTCAATTTTTCAACGAGAACAGCTCAAAACACTGACAATCCCGATATACTATGCCTATGCAGTTTTTCATATGTACCAAGGAAGCTTCCACTCGAATTCACCCAAACGAAGTGATGTATCACACAGCAACTGTCACAGCATTTGAATTTCTTGTTCTCTTCTTTTAACTATCGCTTGTTGTTTCAAGTATTGTTTTCCGTATTTTTAGAAAATGGTGTGAAATAATACACTCTGAACTGCTGTTTATATAAGATCGTTTCAGTCAACTGTCCGACGATTTAGTCAATAGAACGTTAAATGAACTAGTAGTCCCACTGAGGAAACTGAAATTGAAGGAGGAAGAAGTAGTACCGCTCAAAGCAGTTATAATTTTAAATCCGAGTATGTTTTTTAAATATAATTTATTGCATATTGTCGCGATACTCCTGGATCAGTTTTCAATATTTTGTTGGCACGAGAGGTTTTTAGATGCAAAAGGTTTGTCAATGGCTGCGCAACAAATTGTGTCAAATCTTCGGGACCGTGTCCAGGAAGTGCTATTCGAAGTTATCAAAGAGCTGAATCCCACCTACAGAGCCACTACACGGTTTGGCAACCTCCTTTTGTTACTACCTACAATCATGGTACGGATATTGGCTTCTCGAATGATATTTTCTTTAAACTATTTACTTTTATTGACAGGCAATCAAATAAGGAGCAGGTGCACCCTATTTTTTTGAGAACGCTTTTATTTTGAAAAAGGCATAAATATGAAGTAGAACTTAACTATGAATACTGACAAATAATACTTGTAGACGCTATCTGGAACAATGAGTGAGAATCTGCAATTTCTGCAAACTTTAGCTAGAGATCAGAAAGAGGACAACCTACTCAATGATATGTTTGGTAAGGTGTATGCCAAGCTAGATGACCCAGTAACCTCGACGTCCTTACCACCGATACTTGAAAATCCGGCCGAAATATCGTTAAAAGTTGGTCTTCATCCCTTTATAATTACTGCAATGAAATGAAATATATATGATACTATTTGACGAGACAGTTCCGTCTCAGGAAGCAACTGCAGTGGATTGATAAAAACTGTATTGCACAATCCTAATTTGTTCCAGTATGCCAGCTCATCACATCGACCAACAACGATAAATGGTAATATGGTAAATGAAGGGAAATTTAGAATGGACTCGAGCACACAAACTTATGCGGATGATAGCCTTAAAGGATTATTATCAAGCAGCAGCTTATGCAAATCACTCACTCCTCCTAGCCATGTAAAACTTTCTTCACGTCGCTTCACTGTGTAGAAACGACCCCTTATGAAAATATTTGTGCCAAGTTTAAATATCCTATAATCCGTTTTAGTCAGTCTGTGAAGACAAGGTTCTAAAAATACGTTCCGTAGATTAGGACAGAACAACGTACAGCTCAATCAGGTAACGACAGTTGAGAAGGTGTCACCCATGTATAATATAGCCAAGAAAAATATGACCCCTTGAAAGCTTCTATTTGAATCCAGCCACATTTTCCATTTTTGAAGTTAGTAATCAAAGCAGATCAATGAAACTTTTGTGATCTACAAAGATTGCAGATCAACTTCAGTCCACTTCATTATCTCCTGGATGATGACCTAACCAATCACTCGTTCGCTCCGAATTACAGTGAGATCCATAATGACTGTGGTGATTTATTCTTTTTAATGGACGACATCGAATGATCTTGGCACTTCTTTACGGACTCACAATTCACTTGTGTACAGTGCACCTGCTAGTCACATAACATTCTTCCAATGCCTCTAGTACTGTGATAACGTTTTTTATCATTATTTGAACTTTCACTTCAATTCGCTCAGTCATACCATGCAACATATCCAAATGTACTAGATAGATTTGTAGTGTACGGCAACATATTGTAATTTTAATCCATATCACCACTATTAAGGCTAAATAACAGTTAAATAAACGAAGACCTTTTTAGATCTAAAAGTATCTTCATGTGTTGCAGCTTCTTATCTCCTAGTCATAGTGGGTGCGAATAATGCCATTTAGTTAGCTGTAAATTTAGTAAAATTCATAAGCATTGAAGCGTCGACTTCCATCGTCCTTCAAGAGAATTTTTCCGCTGCTGTCTCTTACTTCCAGTGACCCTAATCAATTCTGAGAACCTTCTTACTCCATTCCCCATACTATAATTAATAATTTGAGTCCGATGAATTTCAAATTTCAAAGTTATACAGTCTAGCCACTCAGCTTATCTTTTCAATTTGTACCACTTAATAGTGGTAATTTCTTATAACTGGACACGGTGTACTTAATCACCTCCCATTGTAACTTAGCCAAGTTCAGTACGACTTACGCATCCTGAACCAAGCAGTATGAATCACCAGCATGTCCATTAAAACGCAATATCGTTAACGTAGCGGACTCCCTTTACATTATATGACGGTAACCGTCCTTCAAAAAGTTGCATCATTACCACAACAAAGTAGGGATGAATTAGGAGTGGAGATTCTTCCCTAAGTCTCGTACTTTGCTCAATACCATTAACTAATTTTTGCTTGAATTCAATTCTCCTACCTCCTTGTCACAGCTCCACTTATTTTTAAACTGAAGATTTTTATTGTGCCCTGAATAAAACATTCAATCTTTTTGTTTGTCTATCAATACACAAAGGAAGCCTTCAAAAAAAATAATTTAGTATGAACGTCCAAGCGAAAATTTATAGCATTCTCAAAGTGGACAAATAAGTCAACTTTATGAAATAAAGAACATATCTATTATCACAATTCGATATAGGAACAAATCGAAATTGAAATACAAGATAAAATTATAGAGTCCTAGAAGTAAAACTGAGCAGCAAATATTGGTGGAAACAACTTAACAATATTAAAGTATAATTGAAGAGAAAACGATAACAACCCTAAGAAAATTTTATTTTAATCATTTGGGAGAGTAGTCAGATGCAAAAACAATCCTTCAGACTGAAATAACAACACAATAAGTACTATGTACGGACATTAAAATAGCATCCCTACTAAAATACAAAACGGGGTATTTCGGTAATTCAAGTCAACTTATAAATTGCAAAACAATAAAAACAGGATAAATCCTGATTGTGATAGGATCTAATTATTCTGCTAACAACTACTCTTCGTTTAGTATCTTCAGCCAAAAAAAATAAACTCAGAAATTGTGGTAGAAAAATATGCGATGATTCTCAAAATAAAACAACCAATGCTTCCTTGCTATCACAAATTCATAACTCGGCAACTAATGTGTCCAGTCGTTCTTTACTCAGTCGTTCAAATTTTCCAGTTAGTCGACCTGAAAATTTGACTCAAAGAAACATAATCTAACCATTTCTAACAATTATACCGAACGGAAAAAGAGAAACCTTTGCTATCTTTCATCGGAGTTATTGCAACTATTTCAACATTAGAACTTGTAAGTTTCTCTTCCATTACTTGTTTCAAAATTGACAACGCAATCTTTTCTGCCTCCACCAATGATAACGACTGTAACAAAACGACCAAATCAATATGATTCCAAAAATATTCAGACAACAGTAATCATAAGTCCTACACCTATTAAATTGATTCGAATGCAGAAATATATGAATGGAAGATGTAAATGAATTGTTTAGAGCAGATTGTACAACGATGAACCAAATACAATACCTCATGATATTGTTCTTTTAAACTTTGCTCCGCTCCATCTGAAGCAGCTCCAATTGACTTTGCCAAACAATCGATGAAGGTACCCGATGGATCCAAATGAAAACTAAATTATAACACTGGCGAAGTTCTTAGACATGATGAAATCGTAATCTAGTTGCATTGTATGCTTTATTATAAATAAAATGGATGGATGGAGATTGCAAATAATTTCACTAAAACTTCATAACCAAAAGTGGAAGCAAATTAAGCAAGTTAGAAAACAGTAAAAACATACAGCCGTGGTCCATCTTGGTCAACTCCAGCGAAAAGCATGGCAACACCGAACGGTCTTGACATAGACGCCTAAAACACATTGTGTCGTGAACTAGCAGGCACCATGAATTTGGGAAGCGATTGTCCAAGCATTTCTTGTTAAATTAAAAATATCTCAATGAAGTATACAAAATAAAATGAACATTGAATGCTCGATAAAACTTATCTGAAGTTTATGCCACAATGATATAACAAAAAAGGCCAAAAAGTGAAGAACTAGTAAGACAATGCTCAGAAGTGTGTTTCTATCGCGCACGCGGTAGAAACACACTTCTATGTAACAAAAAAAAAAAAAAAAAAAAAGAAAAAAATAGAAACAGAAAATAGAAAAATAGAAAAAAAAATGATCTACCAAGCGGTTTTAATAATAATAAAACAAGAATAAGTATGATTGGACTAACTGTAAAAATAAGAATATAGAAACAATAAGAAACAGTTATAAAAGAAAACCTTGGCGTCATCATCCCCAAACTGTAACGCTAGATTAGCAACTGACATTGTTACATCCTCAACTCGTATTTTACGATTATATGTGAACCAAAAATTTTGGGCTTCGATCTGTGCTCGTTCCACCAATGTTCTTGAATCGGCAATAAGACCAGCAAACGTTACCGCTGAAACGTATGCTCTCTTGCGATCATTCAACCGCAAGTTTTATTAAATTGATCTCTATACGGGAACTTACCAACATGTGAATCGACTTTGGATATCTTTTCAATGGCATCATTTACCATTAATTTTGATGTAGCACGTTTTTCTGCAGCCAAAATTACTCCTTCAGTTGTGCGAATACCAATGCTTGTTGAACCTAACTGAAAAAGATTTACTGAAATGCAATGAAAACGAAGCATGCAAAGCTAGAATAAATACTTATAATCCGAACATAACAAATTACCTTCACAGCTTCAATTGCATATTCGACTTGAAAAAGTCGACCTTCAGGCGAAAAAGTGTTGACACCACGGTCATATTCACTTCTAGTCAAAAACATTGTCTGTAAACAACATTACGCAGGTATTATCAAACAGTAAATGACAAAATGAATGAACATGAGCAGTAAATGTAATTTATGTAACACAAACTGTGAATGGTCAAATACCTATACATTCATATCGTATAAACACCAGACAATTGTAGTCAAGACATATTTCTTGTTTTTACGATGGAACATTATTACTGTTTGTAAAATAAGAAACATGATACACATGAATGGACAATACTAAGCCATAAATATGAGTTGGAAAAGTACAAAGTACCTGAATACTTGCAGTATCTCCGAGAAATTATAGAAGGGAATTTAATTCACAAACAATTCTTCTCTGCTCCAACCAGATTCTGATAACTAAGAAATCTTTAAACATGGAAAATATTTTTATCAGTCTGTCAATCGTTTTCACTAAAACAACAAAACAGTGGAAATTTATAAGTGAAGAAAGGCATCGATGATATATTTGGATTACTGACGTATCCCCATTTTCGTAATCCACCAGTGACAGCTCTTTAATCTTTATATTAAATCAATAAAAACCGTAATACATTGCAAAAGACTCTTTCCGAGCATGGCTGAGATAGGTAAGTACTTCAACAACAAACTTTCATGCAATTCGAAAAAAGCTGAATCAAGTATCTGAGTTAGAAAAGTTCCTAAAAATCTATGTTGGCATTTATCAACGACAAAAAACAGTGGTGGCAGTACGGTGCTGATAACTGAGTAATGTCGTTCTTCTGTATTGTGCTCTTCCAGATAAAGCTCTTCATTGGTACGATGAACATCCAGATCTGATACACTAAATATTTCGCAGTTCACTTAAACATAATTTCCAACTGATCATAACAAACAAAGAACAGTCTACCGAATCACAAGAAGACGACTTGATAATAGCAATCAATTTTCATACTGCTCCTACGGTGGTTACGCACCGTTGCCATAAATCGGTTTCTATTAAACAACCACCATTTCTTTTGGCTCGCTATGAAATATTCGACCCAACACACATTTTATGGTTGTTGTCCATTTATCTGGTTGAAACTCGTGCATTCACTCTCTGGTGGTAATATCCATCGAAACATAAAATTATGCAGAAATGGTTTGATAAGAACATACTGTTGCTTGATGAGAAGTGATCTACGAGGAATCGATTAGAAAGCTTAATAAAAGGCAAACTGAGGATAGCTTTATCATTGCTAACATGTCCCAACCCTTTTTTCCCCAACTTTGTGATTCTTATTCGGTTGTGGACTTCGCTTCGAACTTATTATTATTATTATTATTATTGTTATTATTGCAGGGATCCTATGTTATGTCGTACAAATGGCAAAGAGAAGATTGGGGATGTGAGTTGGATGAAAATGAACGAATTATTGATTGGTCATTCTTAGCAGAACTGAATTTCACATTAGCTGCTTTACTAACTTCTAAAGGTAAAGTAATCTTGGTTACTTGAAGTTTTTGATTGGCGATGTGGATTTAATCTCTGGCGCCAACATTCGAAAATACAGTAGGTAATTATTATTGTGTGAAACCGTGCTCGTAAAGAGCGAGTATTTTTTTCTAGTGTTTCTAAATTAAAAATTTATTTTGTGAAGTCCAATAAATCTTTTTAAATAAAAGTACGCGTAGTATAGGTGCAACTTCGTATTTGTTCCACAAGTTGTAGTGTTTACTTCTGAATATTAGCCTTCTTGTAAACTTTTCTCCGATCATTCTTTGTGGAATGGGGGAGCTAAGATATCTTGGGAATCTTGAAGCTGATTGCCTTCATGAGCTGAATTTAAATCCTGCAATCTGTCTTACAGTTAATGGTCTTTTGCTTGATTAGATGTGCTTTTGTTGCACACCATTGTTTTCTGTTTAGGTGGAATTCTAATTTATTCTAACGTTGGAAGCAGTGGCGTCAGACTCTGTGTTACTCATTTGCAGAAATTTGCTCCAGCTGTAAATGAGGCTGCTGCCGTATGCATTCTTCCTGATGCCAGTGGTCTAGCATTCATCCTTTTAAAAGGGAGTGTTTTGTTGGTACCACTGCGGTGTATTCTAGTAAGTTTTTGTCCTTTTAATTAACATTTTTTTTTTGCCACTTCTTATTAGGAGATTGGGAATTGTGTTGATCTTATTTGTACAGTTAGTGGTTTCACAGTTTTTGCTTGTTAGATGTCGTATCTTTGAGGACGTGCCATGGGGTAGATGTGATATTTTGGCCAGTGATTCCATTTCAATTTTGGAAGTTAATGGTGTGGAAGAAGGATGCTTGTGTACACCAACGTCTGCACTCTGTTACATTGCCCATCATTCAAAACGTCCTTACTTAATATATGCGAATAAGGTATCACTGTTACATTTTTCTGAAAGTCATCGTTCACAGTATGATGGTTCATTTTCTCTCCGTTCTTTTTATAGGCTGGACAGCTATTCATTATTGATTTGAGCATGATGGTAGTATCCGTAATGTTGAGAGCACCGGAAAGCATTCACAATATTGCTTTGTATGCAAGCAAGGGCGATGTTCATTTGCTGGTTTGTTTTTGAGTAATTGAAATTTTTGATTAACGAGACATCAGACAGACTATTTATTCAAGAGAATCTTCGTCATATTGACAGTAGTTTGTTTGTCTTTAATCTTCTTCTGGAGCTTGTTTCAGGTAAGCGGTTTCACTAGCGAACAGTGGATATTGCCATTGGAAACTGATGGACGTGGCTTGCGTGAAACGTTAGGTCAGGTTATTCCATGGGATTTGAGAGAACAATATCACATAACATCTCAAATCAGTGTTGCCTTTGATGGGATGCTTGCTATGCTTAGCACTGAAGATTGTGTTGTCAAGGTAAGCCATGACTAAATTCCCCAAAAAATTGTCAGTGTTATCAATTGTTTAAATGTGTAACATCGTAAAAGTTTAGTATATGACATATGGCAATATTGTTTAGGCAGAACTACTTATAATTTTGTTAAGTTCTACGACGATACCGATATGAAAATAGCGAAAAATTCTGTCTCTGTACCTGAAAATACGTGGCAGGTGCATATTCTTCCGCATATGATCTTTGCTGTTACTGATCAAGTTTCTGGTACTGGAGTTTCTGTGTACTTTGGTGTGAGTTTCCACTTGTTACATAACTTGTTGCTTCATATCTGACTAGTTCCAGTGTGTTATGTTGAGTTCAAGAGATGTTCTAACCATCATGATACAGGTAAGATACGGTGTATCTTTTTGATTTCGATTATTCAATTTTTAAATATATGTTTCACTATGTAATTATTCGGCTTTATTGTTTCAGGGTTTGTTTAATGCTGCGAAAATTTTTTACGAAAAAATTCTTGATTTCCCAAATGCTAGGATATTGGGTTTTATACCGATTCTGTGCGAGAATATTCTGCCTTCATGTTTGCTCGTGACGGAACATGATGTTATCGTTTTATCTCCAAACAAGTTATTTCTTTGCTATTACATCTTCCAGCCACAGTTTCTATAGTGACCACTTTATGATTTTTCTAAACCTTACGTATGTAATTATGAACTTACTGTTACGATGCTACAAGGCTCCATATAGAAATAATGATGAAACGTTTAGGCCCTTACGCGAATTTCTGGTTGATTATGTCGCGAAACTCGATTATAGTTATAGCATTTGCATGTTGGTTGCTGAAACATTTAGAATAAATACCGCAGATCTAGTACAAAACATCCTCGATGATACTTTTTCTACTGTTCAAAATTCTGTGGACCGAGAAATCATTCTGAATAAGCTGATTCGTCTTGCACTTGACTCATCCGTAAGTTCTTGATACACACTTTTGCAATTTTTGATTTTTAGTTTGCAGCAAGGTTATATTCGTTCCAGGTCTCACTTGTGCTTTTTTTTTTGTCAACTTAGTACTCGTAAGCGACTTTGTCGATATCTGATAATAGTAATGGCCCGTTATTCTGAACGGCTGAGACTAGCCAGAATTATTGCATATGTTTCTAAATCTCCTGATAAAACTTGCCAAGAAGTGCATGTACTGAATATCAAATATCTAACTTGGAACACAGAATTTCCGGTCAATGTGTTATTTTCTAGCATTCTCAGCTGATGCTTTTTCAGATGGATCTTATCACTTTAATACAATGGTGCACGAAAAATAGGTTTGAACATATCCTTGTGGAAGTGGTGAGAGATATGTGTGCAGAAAATCCAAATGAAGAAGGTAGACATCACATGATCAACCTTTGCATGGCCCGTTATAAAGCTCATTCTCAAGACAAAGATAAGATTGAAGCCATTTTGAAGTAAGTTCTTTGATTTTGGAACCGCAGTATTTCTTGTTTTCTTCCGTTTTATACCAGTAACAAATTTCTTCATACCATTCTTTGGTATATCTTATAAATTTTTGGAAAGGCGAATTCCAGCGAGTTTTTGGTGCACCATCCAGATGTTCACATTGGCATGGAGAAGTTGCTTGAAGCAGATTTTTGGACGACTGTTGCTATAATCGTTGACAATTCGTTAGATAAAGCTGAGATTGTGGGAAGATATTTAGCAAAGACTGAAAAGGATTGGCCAACAATTCATAGTTCATTTATCGTGAAAATTTTATCATCGTTGTGTTGGAAATCATACAACAAAGAGGATGGCGAAATACTTTTACGCCGCATGGCGGAATTTGTACCTCACCTCAAATCTGTACCACACCTCACTACTTTTGCTAAGATTGGTATTGAACAGGTGACGAGGTTTGCAATTTTTCATTGAAGCCGATTTTTCTGTTTAATTATAAAATTCTGTCCTACTTAATAGCTTAAAAGTTCAATTTGAGCAAATATATTGGTATGGTTACATTTCTGTTGTAGTTATCAACATAATGCAGTTGTTCTCTACGTGTTATCCTCGTTGCATTTGATGCGAGCAACATACAACACTGTAAGTTGTTCAGGTTTTTAGTATGAAACAAGTGTTTTTCCTGTGCTGAACCATTTTTATGTTTCATTGCGTGAGAGAAAAACTTTTTTATTTGGAAATTCTTTTGCTTTTTATATGAGACTGTACAATGAGACTTTAATATTATGCCAGTAAACTGGCTTTTTTTACCACAAAAAGATATTGAATATGAAGATTTATGCATGGACAAAGAAATTTGTGTTGGAAGATTGAATATAATATGTTAGAGCAATATTAAGAGTAGGCTATAATTAAGGTTTGCGTTACAGTGTGTTCCTTTTACAACGGATAACATTATCTCAAGCGGATCGAACTTTATCGCCGTAGTGACTTCTGAAGAAGATGTTGGTTATTGGGGGGAATTCTCTCCAGGACCATTAAAGTCGAAAGAATGTGAGAAACCGCATGGACAACGTGTACCTCGTTTATGCATGCTGGATACACGTGTTCGAATTTGTAGCGTTTCTTGCGGCACCGAACATTTACTCTGTTTAACTATACATGGAAAAGTCTATGCGTTTGGACGAAATAGGTTCGGAGCTGTTGATAATTGAAATTTCGAGATTGTTTAGAAGATAGGATTTTTCTTTTCATTTACGGAATTTGTTTTGTTAAAGGAACTGACTTACTTTTTGTTATATGTTATATATTTTTGTTGTATATCATCCTTAAGCTCATAAACTTTTGTTGGGTATAATGAATCCTCTTAATTTATAGATTTTGGTCAGTGTGGTGTCGGTCATACAAAATGAGGTTACATTGGCAACGGAAATTGTCAATAATTATGGAAGCGCCCGTACAGTATGTGCTGGACATTATCATTCAGCACTGATTAGTGAAGAAGGATATGCTTTCACGTGGGGTTGGTCGTTTCATGGACAGGCTGGG